GTAATTGCGTTAATACACAGTTCCTTCAGGTCGTCTTCTTGTCTTCTGACTATAACACAGTCGCGTCAGGGCAGTTGAAGAGATACAACAGTGGCGACGGGCTATGTTCATTTCGAAACTCAATCATGGCAGTCAGTTTCGAACAAATACAAGCTCTACTGCAACAGCAACAGGCGCAGTTTGAAAAATCGTAAGCACAATTTGAAAAATATCAAGCAAAGTTGATCGAGACATTGTCGCAAAATTTTTCAAAGCAGGCAATCGTAATATCAGCAGTACCAAACAACGTTCCTTCACCGGTGTCTCTGACGCAGCATATCAGTGAGTTCCATTATGATGCTGATTCTGGGTTAACTTTCGAATGCTGGTTCCATAAACATGAAGATATGTTCCATATTGATTTGGCTAATGTGCTAGAAGGAAAGAAAATTCTGCCCATGCTTCGAAAACTGGGCGCTGCTGAGCACGAAAAGTTTTTGAACTCTATTCTTCCGAAGAAGAGTACGGATCTAAATTTCGCTGAAGTGGTCACAGCATTATCTCAACTATTTGGAGAATCCACATCGGTTTTAAATATCCGTTACAAATGTCTCACGATGTGCAAAAAAGACGACGTCAGCTATTCAAGTCGTGTGAATAGAGAGTGTGAACGGTCAAATTTTCACAAAATGACCAGTGACCAATACAAGTGCCTCATTGACGTCTATGGCTTACAATCAACAAAGGATGCAGACCAGGTTACTCAATAAAATCGAACAGAACCCTGAAGTCACACTACAGCAGATGACAGCGGAATGCGTACGCATGGTGAATCTGAAACACGATACATCAATAATTCAACGATCGTCCAACGATGGCAATCACGATCTGATCTGTGCGGTCAATCGAACGAGAACTGATTCTGTGCATGTTAGTCCATCACGGTCTGTACCTCCTTCAGCATGCTGGTTTTGCAAGGACTGGCATTTCGCACGGAACTGTCCCTTCAGGAATCACATTTGTAACCGGTGTGGCAGAAAGGGTCACAAGGAAA